AGGGTCAAATTACTGTGGTCTGGAGTCACATATAGACCAGATGAGGCCAAGATGGCAGATTTACGTCCTCAAAGGATACCTATAGACCTGATAAGCTACAATTATTTGCAAAATATATTAACGACTTGAATGAGGAAAGTGAGTGTACTGTAGCAAAGTTTGCAGTTGACACAAAAACAGGTGGGAAGGCAAGTGGTGAGATTGACACATAGTTTGCAGAGGGGTACAGCCAGGTTAAGCGAGTGGGCAAAAACCTGGCAGATGGAAATATAATATGGAGAAATGTGAGGTTATGCACTTTTCTAGGAAGATGAGAAGAGTTGAATATTATTTAAATGGTGAAAGTCTGCAGAAAGCTACAGACAGTGGGATTTATATGTTTGAACCACAAATAGCTAGCATCCAAGTTCAGGGCGTAAAAGAAAAGACAAATGGAATGTTGGCTTCTATTTCAAAGGGACTAGGATATAAAATTAGGAAGGTTTGTTATAACTGTAAAAGGCACTTGTTAGACCACAGCTGGAATAGTGTGAACTGTTTTGGACTCTTTAGCTAAGAAAAGATATACTGGCATTGGAGGTAGTCCAGAGAAGGTTCACTAGGCTAATTGCAGCAATGGAGGGACTGTCTTATGAGGAGAGGTTGAATATTTTGGGCCTGTACTCATTTGAATTTTGAAGATTGAGAGGATACCTTATTGAAAAATATCAAATTCTATTGGGGCTTGACAAGGTAAAGTAGAAAAGTTGTTTCCCCTTGTTTGTGGGAGAGTCTAGGCCTGAGGGCTCTCAGAATAAGGAGTCGCCCATTTAAGACCGAGATAAGGAGGAATTTCTTCTCTGAGGGTACTGATTCTGAGGAATTCTTTACTGCAGAGGGCTGTTGAGGCTGGGTCATTTATGTGTATTCAAGGCTGAGAGAGACAGATTTTTAATCAGTTAGGGAATCAAGGGTTATGTGGAAGGGGCAGGAGAGTGGAGTTGAAGTTTATCAGATCAGCTACATTCTCAGTGAATGGCCGAGGAGATTCAATTGGCTGAATGGCCTACATCTGCTCCTAAGTGTTATGGTCTTATGGGTTTGGGGATAGGGTCATGCTCCCCATTAGCTTTTGAATACAGCTTTTTCATTAATTGAATATAAATTCCGCTGGCTCCTAAGGTGGGATTGAAGCCAATGGCCTCACCCAGAGCATTAACCTGGGCCTCTGGATAACTATTCCAGTGACATTAGTAATACGCTGCCACATCCTTGTTGACCTGACTGTCAATGTGGCTCAGACTAATTCAATTCCCTCAGCTGATTTGTTAGCGTGTTATCGAGTGCTGGCCTACTTTTCCTGGAACAACTCAATTCCGTGATTTAGGGAAAGACATAAAAGCAAACCCAGCCAGTCAGTTGGATGAATTGCTCTCTGGCACCAGGCTGTGAAAAGGAATATTGATTCGCTGCTTAAAAAGCTCATTAAGAATGCCTGTGATACCAAATACAAGCAGCAGTCCATCCTCAGGGGACTGGCCAGTTAGTAAGAGTGTACACAAATTATTCTCTGCCTTGGCGCGTTGAATGGAGCAAGATGAGATTTTGCGCATGGTTCCACTCTGTTGTCTGGTCCCAATGGATTCGGGCCAGCAGTCCACTGAGTTCAGCAATGATTCACTGTTTCACAGGAGACAGGGAAATGGCGCTCAGTGGTTGCACAGCGGCGGTCTTCAGCAGGAGAGTTGCTGCCAGGGCTTCAGGGTTCACTGTGTTTCCTGCAGGGCTGTGTTTGCTGGCATCAGCCGCTGGGGCACCCAGGCATGTCCGCTCATTCGGGAACGCGCATGGCTCAGGTAGACTTTGTGAGTGACATGAGACTCAAAAGCCGGACTGCGCTTACACAGGGAAGCACGTGTGCTTTTGATTCAGGGTTTGGGCTGAGATGAATTAGGGAGAGGGCAAAGATCCCAAGCTCAAGTGCTCAACTCATTACTTATCCTTCAACTAGCACTGCCAGCAGGGAGTCCAGTGATTTACATGCCAACACTCAATTTGGGAGCAAGAATAGGCCACTCAACCCCTCAAACCTGCTCCACCATTCAATAAGATCATGGCTGATGTAAATTTTAATTGTGGGGTCTTCCTGTGTATCAATTGGCTTCCTCGTTTTCCACTTCATAGTAGCTACACTTCAAAGCAAGCTTCCTCGTTTGTTTGGAGAAGCTTAGTTATTTCAAGCAATGAGTTCACACACATTATGACACACCTCCAGGGCACGTGGCCCTTCAACCTTCTGGTCTAGTGGTAGGGCCATTACTCACGGCACCACGTGGAATGAGATGACACATTTTGCCTCCATCAGCTCTTTGAACAAAGTCTCCAATCACAGGGAGTTCCCCGATTTACAAGCGTCTGCCTTACAAATGCTATCTCATACAGGGGTGTAATTTAAAAAATCTGAAAAACATACATTTCTTGTATTATGCATGACTGCTTTAGAATCACAGAATCCCTACAGTGTGGAAACAGGCCTTTTGGCCCAACAAGTTCACACTGACCTTCACAGCATCCCACCCAGACCCATCCCTCTAATCTACATGTCCCTGAACACTATGGGCAATTTAGCATGGCCAATCCACCTAGCCTGCACATCTTTGGACTGTGGGAGAAAACTGGAGCACCTGGAGGAAACCCACGCAGACACGAGGAAAACATGCAAACTCCACACAGACAGTCACCTGAGGGTAGAATTGAACCTGGGTCCCTGGCACTGTGAGGCAGCAGTGCTAAACACTGAGCCACTGTGCCACCCCCTATTCCCTTACTCTTTCTCAATTTTATTTCATTTTCATGTATTTACCTCATTCTCTCTAGAATATTTAACAGGATCTGCCTCCTCCATCCTTATTTGATTTGCTTTATTGTAGTCCGATGTAACCTAAGTACAGTGAAAAGTTTTGTTTTGCGAGCAGTACAGGCTGATCATAGCAAACAAGGATGTACAGATCATGGGCGCTTGGACAGAGTGAACCATACAAGGTTACACTGCACAGGAGTAAGATCAATGTTAGCAAGATCAGCATTATTTGAAGTTAGAGAGGTCGATTTAGCAGTCTAATAACAGCAGGGTATTGGGCAATATATTCTAGATAATGACCTCTCAATGCAAAAATAAATTGTTCCTCATGTCACCTTTGGTAGTACATAGGAGCATGAGTGGGCCATTCGCTCCCTTTATCCTGCTCCACCATTCCAACCACAGCAGATCATCTACCTCAACACCATATTCTTGTGCTATCTCTGTAACCCTTGATGTTATTAGTATCTAGGAATCTATCACTTTCCATCTTAAACTTACTCTGTGACTGAATCTCCACCACCCTCTGAGAGAAGAAATTCCTCTTCATCTCTGTCTTCAATGGTTTGCCCCTTATTTTGAGACTGGTCCTCGCCCCAGGTTCTGGGCTCCTAGCTGGGGGAATATTCTTTCTGCATCTACCCTGTCTAGCCCTTTAAGAATTTTAAATTTCTAAGACACTGTCTCTTATTCTTCTAAGATCTAATGAATACAAACCCAATTCCCTCAATCTGTCTTCAAGGAACAGCCTGTCATCCCAGAAATCCATCTGGTGAACCTCTTCTGTACTCTGTCTCGGGCAAGTACATCCTTTCTTGGGTAAGAGGACCAAAACTGTACTTAATATTCCAGCCGCAGTCTAAATAATCCAGTTTCTATGGGACTGAAGTATTAACATGATGGTCTAGTGGTATTATCACTGGACTATTAATTCAGGTAAAGAAATGTGCTGGGGACCTGGGTTTGAATCCCACCTTGGCAGATATTTGAATTCAACAAAAATCTGGAATTGAGAGTTTATTGAAACTGTTGTCAGGAAAAAGAACTCATCTAGTTTACTAATGTCCTTTGGTGTTGGTAATCTTTTGTCCTTCTCTCGTCTGACCTGCAAGTAACTTCAGACCCAAAGCAATTTAACTGCCCTCTGAAATCTTTTAGCAGGCCACTCAATTCAAGAGTAATTAGAGATGGACAATAGACACTTGCCTAGTTAGCACTGCCCAAGTCCTGAGAATGGGATAAACAAAGAGGAGAGATAAATGGGTCTTTCTCAGGTTGGCAGTCTGTGTTTGGGAGGGTACAGTAAGGATCGATGCTTGGGCTCCACCTGTTCACAATCTACACCAATAATTTGGATACGGGGAGCAATTGCAATACTTTGCTAGAATCACACGGTACAGAAAAGGCCCTTCAGTCCATTGAGTCTACACTGACAGCGGTACTTTAGATTGGCACTAGTCCCAAAGCCTTGAATACTATGAAAGGTTACTTGCCTCAACTCCCCTCCCACATGCCCAGCATCCTCTGGGAGAAAAGGTTCTTCCTCAATTCCCCTCTAAACCTCCTGTCTCTCACCACAAAATGGTTCCCCCTTGTTATTGACCTTTCTACTAAGGGGAATAATTGCTTTCCATTCACCCTATCCAAGCCCCTCATAATCTTACACACCCCCATCAGGATCCCCTCAACCTTTTCCGCTCGAAAGGAAACAACCCGAGCCTATCCAGCCTCCCTTCATCACAGGAATACTCTGTCGCAGGCAACATCTTGGTGAATCTCCTCAGTATCATCTTCAGTGCAATCACATCCTTCCTATAGCCTGGTGACCAGAACTGCACACTGTACTCCAGCTGTGACCTCAATAAAAGCTCTAACAGGAAGGCAAATGCCCTATATGCCTCCTTAACCAGCCATTTAACCCGCCCGGCTAGCTTCAGGGACCTGAGGGCAAGCCGGAACCCCCACTACCACCCCCCCACCATGAAGAATCATACCAGAGTCAAAATATTCACTCTGTTTCTGTCCCCAAAGATGCTGCCAGACCTGCTGAGTTTCTGCAACAGGTCCATGATGTTATATCTAGTATCCTGATAGCTGCGCTGGAGATTTCTTTAGGGGACGTCACACTCCGGGTTTAACATTGTTCTTTGTTTCTCTTTAGCAGTCTTCCCCCTCGGAGAATGAAATGAGTAAGAAGCATTTGCTGACGGATCATCGGGTCTCTGTGAGTTACCTGGAGGAGACGTACCATAGGGAGCGAGCTGTCAGTGCAGCTAGTGTTCTCACCAATACCCTGGAAGGTAAGACTCGTGGAGAGGGTAGGAGCCGTGCCTAGAGGCATGGGAAACAATAGAAAGATGGCTTGTAAAGGTTGGCTCGGTGGTTAGCACTGCTGCATCACTGGGTTCAGTTCCATCCCTTGGGCGACTGTCCATGTGGAGTTTGCACGTTCTCCCTGGGTCTCTGTGGGTTTCCTCCGGATGCTCTGGTTTCCTCCCACAGTCTAAAGATATGCAGGTTAGGTGGATTGGCCATGCAAGTGTGCTCATAGTATCCAGGGATGTGCAGCTAGGTGGGTTAGCCGTGGGAAATGCAGGGATAGAGTATGGAGGTGGGTCTGGGTGGGATGCTCTTTGGAGGGTTGGTGTGTACTCAATGGGCCCTGTGAGTCAGACAGCATATGAGAAGCAGGAAGGCCAACATTTTGGACCAAAACCCTTGTCAGGAATCCTGTTAAACCTGGAGTGTGACAAGAGTCCTTCCTTGCTCCTGTATGATCTGATGTGCTTTTCCAGTTCCACATTTATTGACTGTAGCTTCCAGCATCTGCAGGCCTTACTGTCTCGCAGATGTAGATGTCAGCATTTACAGTCACAGAGTCATTGAAACGTACAGCACAGAAACAGACTCTTCAGTCCAACTCAGCCATACCGATCAGGTATCCAAGTCAATGGGCCAAGTGGCCTGCTTCCACACTGTAGGATTAATTCCTCTTCCCTAATGCAATATTCCTCACTTGTGAATGTTATTCTATTCGATGCTGAATCAACAGCTAACATTCTACAGCTGTGTTTCTCTCCCTTATACATTCATGAGATGTGGGTGTCAGTGGCTGGGTCCAGCATTTATTGCCCATCCCTAGTTGCCCTTGAGAACATAGAACATAGAACATAGAAGGTGGGGGTGAGCTGCCTTCTTGAACCGCTGCAGTCCATGTGCTCTAGGTAGACCCACAATGCTCTTAGGGACGAAGTTCCAGGATTTTGACCCAGTGACAGTGAAGGAATGGCCGATATATTTTCCAAGTCAGGATGGTGAGGGACTTGGAGGGGAACTTGGAGGTGGCGGTGTTCCCATGTATCTGCTGCCCTTGTCCCATTGAGATGGAAGTGAGTTTGGAAGGTGCTGCCTGAGGATCTTTGGTGAATTTCTGCAGAGCATCTTGTAGTCAGGACATACTGGAGCTACTGAGTGTTGGCGGTGTAGAAAGCGAATGTTGAAGGTGGTGACCTTTTCTTGTAGCTTGCTATCCAGTGAGGTCTAACTGGAAAATACCTGTACAGGGATGGCAGGTGAGGAACCGGACAGGATTGCATTTGACTGGAACCAACAGTCATTTGCCCAAATGACCATTTGGAGTGTGAGTGGCTACGAGGGCAAACATGCCACCCACAGAATGATGCTCCAACATAATGTGATAACTGGCATTATAAGACGGAGAAAGATGATGCAGGACATAAACAGTTAATAGAAAAAGGCTGATAATAGACAGTATTGTAGGAGGAAATGTGGAGAAGGTATGAGAATGGCACATTGCTTATTCAGAGAGCCAGCACGCACATGTTGGGCCGAATATCCTCCTCTGTGTTGCAATCACAGAAATGTTATGGTGCAGGAGAATGCTATTCGGCCCTGCATACCTGCACTGGATCATGCGGCAATTAGAGTGATTGAGTCATACAGCACGGAAACAGACCCTGCGGCCCACCTTGTCCACGCCGACCAAGTTACCCAAATTAAGCTTGTCTCGTTTGCCTGCAATTGGTCTAAACCCTCTCTAAACCTTTCCTGTCCATCTACCTGTCCAAATGTTTTGGAAATGTTGTAATTATACCTGTCTCTATCACTTCCTCTGGCAGTTCGTTCCATACATGTACCACCCTCTGTGTGAAAGAGTTGCCCCTCAGGTCCTTTTTAAATCTTTCCCCTCTCACCTTAAACCTATGCCCTCTAGTTTTGGACTCCCCTGTCCTGGGGAAAAGACCTTGGCTATTCACCCAATCTATGCCCCTCATGATAGTATAAATCTCCATAAGGTCACCCCTCAGCCTCTGACGCTTGAGGGAAAGAAGTCCCAGCCCCTCCTTATAACTCAAACTCTCCCATCTCGATTCTGATAAGATAGGTATCAAACTTCAAAGAAGTTATTCTCCGTTCTGTTTTTTTGAAGAATGGGTGTCTTGTTGGTGTAATTCCTCCTTGACCATGTGAGCCTCACTGCTGCTACAGACCTGGGGCTCATTGGATGAAAGCTGGGTGACTTGGCATATGCTTTGGATACTGTGGGAAAAGCTGATGGTGGCTGGGAGGTCAGGGTGTTACTAGGCAGCACTTCAGTTGATAAGACAGTGAGAAACAGCAATCAGCAGGGTAGACAGCTAAATAGCGTAGTCACGTCAGTATGGAGCAGATTTGTCAGGGTGAGATTAATAGGGGTTGTGCTGATCTCACTGTGCCAATACTTGATTATATTTATAAATCTGGCAACTAAGTGAAGTGCACCACATTGCTGCTGCTCTGATGGCTTTGGTTAATTTTTAGGGTCAATAGAGTTAATGGGTTAATAGAGTTTGCAAGTACTTGACTGGTCTGTAAAGACACTGTAGCAGCCACTTACTTTTGCTCGTACTTATCCTGGTCTATATATCATTCCTGAAAGGTTCACCCGGCACTTAGGGAATCTGAGTGTCGCGCAAACACTTCCAGGAGTTAGCAGCTTCTAAAGATTTGCTTGAATGTTGGGAGATAACTGAGTGCAGCTATATTGGGATTAGCTGCTGTGGCCTGTTGCATGTCCACTGTGTGGCTAGGTCTCTGTGAGGGACACAGTAAACTTTGGTGTGTGTGTGTGTGTGTGTGTCTGTGTGAGTGTGCGCATGAGAATGTGTGTGTGTGTCCCTGTGTATATCAGTGTGTGTGTCTGTCCGTGTGTGTATGTGTGAGCATGTGTGTGTCTGTGTGAGTGTGTGTGTGTGTCTGTGTGAATGAGTGTGTGGTTGTGCGTGTGTCTATGTGAGTGAGTGTGTGAGTATTTGTGTGTGTGTGTGTGTTGGGCACATTTTTGTGTGTCTGTGTTTGTGTGAGTGAGTGTGTGTGTATGTGTGTGTGTGTCTGTGTGAGTGAGTGTGTGTGTGTCTGTGTGTGTGTGAGTGAATGTGTGTTTGTGTGAGTGAGCGTGTGTGTGTGTGTCTGTGTGAGTGAGTGTGTGTTTGTGTGTGTATCTGTGTGAGTGTGTGTGTGTTTGTGTGTGTCCGTCTGTGTGAGTGAGTGTGTGTTTGTGTGTGTGTCTGTGTGAGTGAGTGTGTGTGTGTGTATCTGTGTGAGTGAGTGTGTGTTTGTGTGTGTCTGTCTGTGTGAGTGAGTGTGTGTGTGTCTGTGTCTGGGTGAGTGAGTATGTGTGTGTGTTTGTGTATGTGTGTGTGTTTGTGTATGTCTGTGTGTGTGTGAGTGAATGTGTGTTTGTGTGAGTGAGCGTGTGTGTGTGTCTGTGTGAATGAGTGTGTGTTTGTGTGTGTATCTGTGTGAGTGTGTGTGTTTGTGAGGGTGAGCATGTGTGTGTGTATCTGTGTGAATGAGTGTGTGTTTGTGTGTGTATCTGTGTGAGTGTGTGTGTGTTTGTGAGGGTGAGCGTGTGTGTGTCTGTGTGAGTGAGTGTGTGTTTGTGTGTGTGTCTGTGTGAGTGAGTGTGTGTGTGTCTGTGTCTGGGTGAGTGAGTATGTGTGTATATGTGAGTATGTGTGTGTGTGTGTGTATGTCTGTGTGTGTGAGAGAGAGTGTATGCAAGTGTGTGTGTGCGAACGTGTGTGTGCGAGTATATATTGTACAAACACTGAAAGATGTGATTGGAGAAAATGTCAGTAAATGATTACTTGCCACTTCATTTGCCAGGAAGGAGATTAAATATTTTCACTCAGTGAGTAGTTAGGGTGTGAAATGCACTGCCTGGAAATGTGGTGGAGGTACGTTCAACTAAGGCTTTCCAGACTATAGGATGGTTATTTGGATAGAAATGGTGCGCAGGGATCTGGGGAAATTATGCCCTTTTGAAGAGCTGGTGCAGGTACAATGGGCTGAATGGCCTCCATCTGCGCAGTAATGATTTTGTGATTTGGAAAAAATGGACAGTATATCAAGAAGGTGACTTCATGGAGTTGCTTAAAATTTTTTAACTGCAGGATGTGGAAAGCTGAGCTGTGGGAATCGAGTCCAGGGAATACAGTGTCCAGAAAACTGGGAGTTAGGGAGGAGGCTATTTAACCCTTTGTAACACTTCAGTCAATTAGAAAATGGCAAGCTAACTCCATCTACCCACTGAAAATAACTCCACAGAGGCTGGTATCCCATCACCAAGTCACCCTTTAGTTACACGTGCATGGTATTTGACACTGATCCAGCTCCCTTGGAGCCAGCTCTCAGAATGAACAGAACCTCTGACATCCCTGTTTATATCCGTCAGCCAGGGCTCCCTGATTGGCCCAGGTTAACAGCCCCAATCAGGGAACTCCATATTCTATGAGGTCCACCTACTGACCTCGTTACAATCACTACAGCGACCTTTTCTCTGAGCCCTTAATACTTGGGTAACTAGAGGCTATCATGCTCAGTCTTAACATTTACATCAATTGCCTTTTGCTGAGAAGTGTTCCAAATTTCTACCACCTTTCAGGAATGAGCCACTTCCTCTGCTGGATAGTCTACGTCTTTTCTAAACAAACAACAGAAAACTGAAGAAATGGTACTGAATGGTCAGTAATGATCTATAACGAAATTGCTTTCTGTGATTACATTAAGACTCAGCACATGCAGCAAATACATATGAACATCACCCCCTGTGAGTTCCCCTGTAAGACACTTATCATCCTGACTAGGGAATATATCACCATTCCTTCACTGTCACTGGGTCAAAATCCTGGAATTCCCTCCCTTACAGCAGTGTGGATGTCCCCACACCTAATGGACTGCACCAATTCAAAAAAGCAATTTACCACCATCATCTGAAGAGAGGCAATGGCCTAATGGT